AGCCTGCGTGGCGGCTCCGAGCCCGGGAGACGTGGCCGCAGCGACGGCAGGCGATATTCCAGGCGGGAGGCGGTGCTCGGGTTCCGCTTCCGGGGCTGCGGGTTCAGGGATCTGCTCCGGCGTGGCGCGCTTTGTGGAGGCGGCCGGCTCTGGACGCACAGGGGCGGAAGGAGAGGATTTCAACACAGGATCCAATTTTGGCTTCTCCTCTGTACGGGGGAAATAAAAGGAGAATTACATGAAAACATGGTGCTGAGCTCACACACGTATGTTCCGGACACGGTGGGGGAGGCTCGGAACCGCCAGGACTTTTTCTTGCTGATTGCGTCCATTTTGGGTGTCACCAAAGCGTGAAAATCTCTCCAATACCCGAACAAAACCTCAGCGGAGGCCTAACTCTTCCCCCACCCAAAACTGTTTTATCCCTTGTTCCTCCCCCTCAGTCCGAGCCCATTTCCTGTTCATCCTCCCCCCAGTCCGAGCCCATTTCCTGCTTATCCTCCCCTCAGTCCGAGCCCATTTCCTGCTCATCCTCCCCTCAGTCCGAGCCCATTTCCTGCTCTTCCTCCCCTCAGTCCGAGCCCATTTCCTGCTCATCCTCCCCTCAGTCCGAGCCCATTTCCTGTTCATCCTCCCTAGTCCGAGCCCGTTTCCTGCTTATCCTCCCCTCAGTCCGAGCCCATTTCCTGCTTATCCTCCCCTCAGTCTGAGCCCATTTCCTGCTTATCCTCCCCTCAGTCCGAGCCCATTTCCTGCTCTTCCTCCCCTCAGTCCGAGCCCATTTCCTGCTCTTCCTCCCCTCAGTCCGAGCCCATTTCCTGCTCTTCCTCCCCTCAGTCCGAGCCCATTTCCTGCTCATCCTCCCCTCAGTCCGAGCCCATTTCCTGCTCATCCTCCCCTCAGTCCGAGCCCATTTCCTGCTTATCCTCCCCTCAGTCCGAGCCCATTTCCTGCTTATCCTCCCCTCAGTCTGAGCCCATTTCCTGCTTATCCTCCCCTCAGTCCGAGCCCATTTCCTGCTCTTCCTCCCCTCAGTCCGAGCCCATTTCCTGCTCATCCTCCCCTCAGTCCGAGCCCATTTCCTGCTCATCCTCCCCTCAGTCTGAGCCCATTTCCTGCTCATCCTCCCCTCAGTCTCAGCCCATTTGCTGCTCATCTCCGAGAACCGTCACCTCCATATTGTACGGCCTCCGGATACTCACAGGAAGGGAGCCAACGGAGGATCAGAGACCTCTCAGCAGAGGGAAGGACAGATCAGAGAGATCCCGGGAGGAACCGGTAAATTTTGACAATTTTTGGCTTTGTGATGGTGTACATGGGGGAGGGGATGTCCTTGAAGAGCCCTATTAGTGCTCACACATGGTTCTCACATCCATCCGCGCGCCCCTCTGTGCAGGAGACCGCTGGGGGATGGCTAGCAGTACCTACCTATTTTGGAGTCCCTGACGGCAGTGAGATGAGGGCTCTCCACAGTCCCATACACCACTGGGCTGTGCTCAGGAACCTGGCAAGGAAGCTGCTGGGATTTGAAGTACAAAAGAGGGTGATAATGAGCGCGGGAACAGAAAAACTAACAGAGAGGTGTCAAAAAAAAAGCAACAAAGGCACGGAGAGCACAACAGAAATATTACAAAACCA